GAATTGATTATTAGTTAGAGAAAACATTGCTTGATTTGAAAGAACGTTTTGTCATTTTCATATATTATCTAAAGGATCCTACCTTCGTTGTACATATTGTTGTCCATCAGTAAATATTAATAGTGTAACAACAATGCTTATCCTCTACATGTTGTACCGTTAAACATATTTCTGTCCCTCTTTACTTAAAAAGAGGTCTTTTTTTTAAAAAATGTGAGACAAAATGAAGTCTAGTTTAATATATTAAAATGTTATCAACCTAAAAATTATAATTTTAAGTCCCAATGCACTATAAAGAATGTCACTGGGTTTTCAAAAATAAAAAATCCATATATCGCTTGAATAAACTGACCATTCCGCATAAAAAATGACTTATAAAAATATGTTAAAATGTAATAAGTTAGAAATTTCCCTTGATAAAAAAGACTAATCCATAAGCAATTCGATTACAAACCAAGCCAGATATTATACTTAATGATATTTTTTTCTAAAAGTAAATTTTTATATAAAAATAGTTTTTTTAATTGTTTCTTGATTTGAATGAATTATTAAAAGAAAGTAACAAAATGCAATGTTTTTGGTATTTTATTGAATTATAATCAATAAAATTACTCTTTTATTTAAACCTAGATTTGCTTTCTCTTCGCCTTTATATCGTTTGCTTAAATTTTGATTTACTTTGTCTTTTCCTTCCTTTGTGTAGAATAATTCAAGAAATCAATACATACAATGTTATTGCATGCAGGACGCATACAATTAGCCTAATATATAAAACATAATGATCACAAACAGACTGTACTTGCTGTACGTGATAACTTTCTACATGAAGTAATATCCAAAGATCAACATATATGTAGGTAAAAAAGATTGTAGTTCTACTGGAAATATTAGACTTACCTGTATTTCGAACTGTCATTCTTATTCTGTCTCAGAGAAATGTTAATATCAATGACTGTGACAAATATTTTCCTTAGAAATAGACATAACACGGTTGTTATAGATTACGCAATCAAACAAAAATAGAATTGACTCGCTTAAATGAGACAATTTGAAATAAATACAGGATTATTGATTACTACGGCACCGCTGGAGGGCCAAATTAAAAAAAAATATATATATTTACGAATAAGATATTTGCTCGGATGTATGATGTGTGTAAATTTGAGTTTTGGTGAATAAACTATCCGGTCTGACAAATGTTAATTTTTCTTTGAACAATTAATTAGATTTTATACCGGACGAATTATTTATTTGTTCAAACGTATTACATATGTGTTTGCACGTATTTGAAATTGGGCATCTTCGCTAGCCAAGGGTTTCTGATACGCTACTCTCTTCATAAACCCTTGGCCTACGGTGAAGTCAAAAGACGGGATTGTTTTCAGTCACGTGATCTCGAATCTATAAGGTACGCACAGATTGCGTCATCGCCAGAAATAAAGACACGTGTTAAAAAAAATAAAATCAAAATTTTTAAAAGAATAATTAAGAAGCAATAATTGAGTTATGTTTATTCATTATTTATAGAACAAATCTGAAGCTTCAATATAGATTCTTAATCACATATTTAGGAGATATTGGATGACACCATGGCTATTCATAGAATTGAATGTTATCTTACGGATCATTGTTTACTTGCGTTTTTCATTTCCGAGATTAAAGAGTGAAGATGTACCCCGAACGCAAATTTTGTCATTTACAAAAAACAATTGCTGATTGGTCGACCTGGGTGTACTGAAATCCAATTAGAACTCTGGAAAAAAATCCCCATTTCTATGAATACCGTAGACCAAGGGTTTATGAGGAGAGTAGCGTATCAGAAACCCTTGGCTAGCGAAGATGGAAATTGGGACACTCTTTTCTTAATATTCTATAATATGAATGTTAGATATTTTGATTTACATTGTTTTAACTTCAGAGAAACGACCTCAAAGTTTCATACCAAATAACCTGCCTATATTACATTGTACAAACATGAAACTGGAACAATGGTGATTTAAAGCAATAGTAATATCTAGTAGTTCAATACATCTTTTAACATATCCAGTATGCATATTAACTTCCGTGAGAACCAGGTTGCATGGTAGATCCAAACTGATAAAGCAGCTCAGTTTCGTGAAGTTTAAATGATTTGAATGATGGAATTTGTAAAGAAGGGCACCTTACTGATTCAAAACGAAAATATGTCAAATTGTAAAGAATTGTCTTTGATATACATGTATAACTTAATTGAAAGAATGGCATTAACATAAATAGATATTCAATTTAAAAAAAGCAATTAATTTAATACAATCATTTTATTTTCACAAAATTATTTTTCAGACTTTTGATTTTATTCTGAAAAGTGACATACAGTAGATACAATGTTAATATGGAACAGAACTGCATTGTTCTGTAAATTTAACGGAAAAAAGGTTATCAATCTTAAGCTAATTTTTTTCCTCACAGAGAATAACAAGATTCAGTTTACAGGAAGAGGAGTCTTTCAATGATATGACGGTACATAATGTCATATACACAAAGAAAGTAAAACAACCCAAAACAAACAAAAAAAGAACAAACAAAACAAAACAAAGAAAAAAACAAATGAGAAAAGAAGTGCACCCTCGTTGTAAAATATCGAAAGAATAATTGCACTTAGTGTACAAAAACAGTGCCCGTTAATAGAGCAAAAAATATAGGAACAAGCCCCGTGACCTTGATAATGCAATTTGTCTAGCTCTTTATCACGACTTTTCAAATATTCAGAAATTAAATCAGTATAAAGAAAAGAAAAAAAAAGCTTATAATTTGAGTTAAGAGTCATTGCAATTCACGAATTTCCATTGATATTCGAAGTTATTATATAACCATCAATTTCCTTGTTTTTGTGACTGTTAATTTTACAGAGTTTGATCCGATTTTCCGGATCATCACACTGTGGTTTTCTGAATCCATATCACCACTCTCTGAAACTGATGACGTAGTACGCAAACACATGACGTTATTTTTCTTGCGCGTTAAAAAGTCCCTTGTTATTATGCTTTGTTTTATGGATAAATATTATACAATTGATCTTTAAAGTTTTATTCTGCTATATTTAGCTAGTTATAAGGGGGTATATAATAAAGTTATCATTATAACAAGAACTTGATCCGAAGAGCCGTATCACGTCTCGTTGGTAGGCGCGGATCATCAGATCAAACTCGACGCTTCGCGTCTCGTTAGATCTGATGATCTGCGCCTGTCAACGAGACGTGATACGACTCTTCGGATCAAGTTACTGTTATAATGATACATATCTATTTCAATTTATACACTGTAAACTTGGAATACATTGTGCAATATTCTGTAATAAAAATCCAACCAGTGGTTATTTTTATTACCTTTATTAAAACCGACGCTCCGTTTTTAATGTAAGTTTTTGAAAGTAATGTACACACATATAGAAAATATTGTATATGAAGAATTTTTCGCCACTTTCACCCATTCAATGGGAGCGAATTCAAAGAAGATAAGAAAATTTTTTAACAGACTCGAAACTGGGCTAATTCAAAGCTGAGCGAATTTTTTATCAAGTGTGAAAGGGCGAAAATTATCCATACAGTATGAAATAACTGAAATGATTTGGATTTTTGCTAATTAGATATTGTTGAAGGGGTCTGAAAAAGGGGCCACGGCACTATGCTTAAGTGGATACATTATTAACCCACAAGCATAATTATGTATCCTTATGTTATATTTTGGGGTTATTTTGGTTTCCAGGAGAGAGAGAGAGAGAGAGAGAGAGAGAGAGAGAATTTTATGTCTTCACTTGATAAACTGACTTCTCAGTATTTTGAAAAGCAAATTTGTTTAAAAAGTTTAAAATTCCACTTGATATTTAAGCTTTAAATAAATTTATAATTTAAAAAGAAAAGTGATTATATACCATGCTAGAAACTATACTGAGATAAATTAAAAAGAGAGATTTGTATAAAAAAAATATATGTATATATCTACCAGTTGGCAACAGTTCGAAAAAGCTATTTTTTGCATATAGATCAATATCAAAGCCACAAGGTCATTGTCTCTGATGTCTTGTAAAACGTACTTAATTCGTTGGGTACATTTATGCATACTAAATATAAAGTCTCTTTCTTTTAAAGTTCTTTGAATCAGAGTTATGGAGAAGATTCAAGAAGGCTATATTTAGCATAAACGTCACAGTCAAGGTCACAAAATCATTATTCTTGATGTCATTTGAAAGAACCTAATTATTGGAGGAGCCAGGCTAATCACGAAGTCTCCCTCTCTCATGATTTAAAACATATGATGAAGGGTAATGTCGACAAAAGACAGAGACATAAAAATTATTTATTATTTTGATTTTTCAAAATTTATTTAATAATTCAAAAAAGGAGAACGTATAAATGAGTTAAATTATCTTTAAGTTAGTACATGTATCTTATTAGATTTCAATTTAAGGAATAATCTTATTATATATTTCAATCAATGTATCGATCCTTAAGTCGGTTGCATATTGAGCTGACATTATTGAATTCCCTTTCACCCGATACCAAACCTTTAAACATACATACACATCAAGTACATTTGTAACCTAATTTTTACTAAACGGAATGTCTTCGTTATGCCTTAATATCATTTCTTTCTTCACGATGGGATCTATTTTCATTTTTCTCCACATTTAAGAATTATGTTCCGAATCCGATTTTTTTTATCTTTGCGTTGTCATTAGAGCTCAAAGTGACTAATGGTGCTTGAAATTTTTATTTCTTTAGCAATATACATTGCACACACACACACACACCTTTAAAACATCCTAAAATAGAAATAAAAGTCAAATAAAAGTTAAAAAATGATACTGTTAAATCCAGGCGTTAATCTTTAAACTTTTGTTTCATTATTACTTTATTTAGGAAATACAAATGTAAAGACATTCGACTTTAATTAAGCAAAAATCGTATTCAAATGATAAAACCTCAAAGTATTTTGAGGGGAAAAAATCTGGATTTAAATAATTGACTGTCACAATCAAAGTTGATTTTGTTACATATTTATTTGTTTTTCTTTTATTAGTATTGCCCTGTGTTGAGCCTTATTTGTATTTAGTGTTTATCCTGCAAGGAGCCCCATTGTAACGCTCAGGTGATTTAAATATTTGGCCAGTCGCTATATAAGGTGATGTCAGGTTTGTCTTGGGTAGCGCACGTTTTCCTTGACCAGTGAAAGTAGTTTCACATGTCCATGGAGGGTTAGGTAGTTTTTCGTGGTAACTGAATCTCCAATCAGGGTAAGTGTAATTTACTTACATTTATTATATTAAAAAGTAATGCAGTATTATGTTAATTGAGCTTATTCTATTTTTATCCACGAGAAAGTGTTTGAATTGTATACGGGAATTTTACCACGTGCACATGCCGTGAGTTTAAGCGTAAAGTAATGATATTAGTTTATTACTCAAAGTGTAACGTTACATTGTATTATTATTTTGCTTTGCGTAGCGGTGTGATACATGTTAGTTAACACTGTATGTCTGAACAATTATATGTGTAAACATTTATGATGTGTTGTAAGGCAGCCCGTTCGGGGTCAAGCTTATGTCCTCGCATATTTGTTGAAGGTCCCTATTGATACATGTACGTTAGTATGATTTGGTGCTGTCGGCGGAGGCAACCTAAGGGCGTAGTACGCTGGGTCGAGACCGTGAGAGAGGAAACGTGGTTTCCCGGATTTGGCAGCATTGCAGACGCTTAAGACGCGTGGGATAGGCGCGGGACGTCGAGGACGTGGTGGCATTTGGTGTAAGGGCGTGGTACCCGTAGGTCATGGACCGTTAAACACAGGAGGCGGGGACGGATATAGGAACGTGGTCTCAGGATGGACACTGATAGACATTTTGAAATTCATTAATTTCATTTTGTATATTTGTACATATTTGTTTTTATATAAAATTGTAAAAAGAAAATAGTTTGGTTATCACTGATCAAGCTTAGGGTGTCGTGACAATGGTGTCAGAAGTGGGATGATGATGTTAGCTTTGATCAGTGATTGTTTTTTTTTTAAATGTTTTTTGTGTAAATTGGATTGAACGTTGGAAAAATATTGTAGTATTTTCATGTATTGAAGTTATAATATTTTTTTTTATTGTATTGTTGTAAAGAGACGTTCAGATAGAAGTTAGGGGACCCTGAGAGGAGAGGACGTTACCATGAATTAGTTTGTATTATGAAGGTTTGATTTCGATTTAGTTCAGTTTTCCTGGAGTGATATTTTGTTTTGCTTTTTTGGTGTCAATTTGTGTAGTTTGCAGTTTGGTTTGATTACTTGAGTTTTGTTGAGATGGATTTGTTAAAAGAGCTTACGTTCAAAGAGGCGCGTCATGTAAACATATTAACTTTAGTTTCTTCTAGCAAAAAGGAAACGACATTTGAAAACAGAAGTCCAGTTGCAGCAAGAGATCAACGCAGCCAGAAGGAGCAAGTGCCGCCGAAGACTAATGGTCAGTCCTTTTCACAACAGAAGAAGACAGGGAAGGATATTCGATGCTACAAATGTTCCAGGCTAGGACATATAGCCTCGCAGTGTAAACAGTTATCAAGTAAGAATCAAAGCTTTGCGGTGAAAGCAAATACTTCAAGTGAGTCAGGAAGCAGTTTGAAGGAACACAAAGATTCAGGCAAGTGCTCTGCTTTTACATCTATAACATCAACTTCAACATTTTCAATGGCAAATTCGTCAGACTTATTAACTACAACAGCTTGCAGTGTAGCTAATTTCTCAGATCAGATGCCTGTTTGTGTTGGTGAAATTAATGATCAGTCTGTTCAAGTACTTAGAGACACGGGATGCAATGGTGTCATAGTGCGTAGGAGTCTTGTCCATGATGATCAACTTACTGGAGACCATCAAGTGTGTGTTTTGGCTGACGGATCCAAAATTGAAACCCCTGTCGCAAAGGTGAATGTTGACACTCCGTATTTTGTTGGAGAAGTGAATGCGTGGTGCCTAAAAGCTCCATTATATCCTTTGATTATCGGAAACATTCCGCATGCTAGAGATCCTCACGATCCGAACAAGGACTGGAAGCCTAGTGTTGTGAATGCTGTAGTGACTAGACAACAGAAACGCATGGAAGGTAAGAAGATAAAACCTCTTTCTGTTCCAGAAATAATAGGATCTGAAGTTTGTCCAGAGGATATGTTGAAAACACAGGAAGAAGACGAGACGCTGAAGAATCTCAGAGCTTTGGTTGGAAAGGAAACCAACGGCAACAGAGTAAAGTACATTTTGAAGAAAGGTATGCTGTTTCGAGTTTTTCAGTCAGAGAAAGTCGAGAATGGTAAGCAGTTTACTCAACTAGTTGTTCCTAAGAAGTACAGAATGAAAGTTTTATCACTTGCACATGAGTCTTTAATGGCAGGTCATTTAGCTACATCAAGGACAATTGATAAAGTGCTAGCTGAGTTTTATTGGCCAGGAGTCCAGGCTGACGCAAGACGGTTTTGTCGATCATGCGACATATGTCAGAGGACTACTCCTAAAGGTAGGACAACTAAAGTTCCAATGAGTGTTATGCCGATCATAGATGAGCCATTCAGACGCGTAGCAGTTGATCTGGTAGGACCAATACAGCCAATGACAGATAACGGTAATCGTTATATTTTAACTTTAGTTGACTTTTCAACACGCTATCCAGAAGCGGTTGCACTCAAAGGTATAGAAACTGAAAGAGTAGCTGAGGCATTAGTAGATATATTTTGCAGAATCGGAGTTCCGAAAGAGATGCTGACAGACATGGGGACACAGTTTACTTCAGAGTTGATGGGTGAAGTAAGTCGTTTACTTTCGATGAAACAGTTATCCACGACACCCTATCACCCGATGTGTAACGGCTTGGTGGAGAGATTTAATGGTGCCCTGAAGCAAATTCTTCGACGACTGTGTTCAGAGCGGCCAAAAGACTGGGACAAGTACCTGTCAGCAGCACTTTTTGCGTATCGAGATGCCCCACAGGAGAGCTTGGGATTTTCGCCATTCGAATTGGTATACGGACACAGAGTCAGGGGTCCGATGAGAATCCTACGAGAGCTTTGGACAAAAGAAGAGACGGATTCTGAGGTGAGAAGTACTTATCAATATGTTGTCGATCTTAGAGAACGCCTAGAGTCTACTTGTCAGTTGGCCAGAGAGAATTTAGAGAAGTCATCCGAACGTTACCGAGCACACTACAACAAGAAGGCTAAAAACAGAGACATGTCAGTAGGTGAGAAGGTGCTTGTACTTTTACCAACAGATAGCAACAAATTGTTAATGCAATGGAAAGGTCCTTTTGAGATAGTGAAGAAATTGGGGAAAGTTGATTATAGAATAGACATGAACGGCAAAATTAAGACATTCCATGCAAATATGCTCAAGTTATATTTTGACAGGAAAGAGTGTTGTGTTGATGCTGGTATCTTAGGTGTCGCTAGTGCAGCTATGGTGGATGTTGAAGAAGACGATTCAGTTGACGACAGTGATCTGATAGATTCAACACTACCTACTTCGAAGGAGAAATCCAGTGATGTCAAAGTAAGTGATGAACTGACAATAAGTGAACATGAACAAGTGAAATCGTTACTTGAAGAGTATAGTGACGTGTTCTCAGATATTCCAGGATGTACGACATTGGATGAGCACCATATAAAGTTGACGAGTGACAAGCCTGTGCGATCCAAACCATACCCTTTACCTTTTACAACTCGTGACGAAGTGTGTGAGGAAGTAAGAAACATGATAAATTCGGGAGTGATTGAACAATCTAACAGTCCTTATTGTTCACCCATTCTGATTGTGGAAAAGATAGTTTTTACTTTTGTAACTTTATAGGTTCCGTATTGTGGCAATTAAAGGATCAGAGAACGTTGGTGCTGATTGTCTAAGTAGATTGTAGGATTTGAGTGAGACATTATGAACATTGTAGTTTTGTACATATGTTTTTTTTGTTGATTGTGAGTTTTGCACAAGTTCAGTGAACTTTCTTGAATTGGGGAGGTGATGTCACAATCAAAGTTGATTTTGTTACATATTTATTTGTTTTTCTTTTATTAGTATTGCCCTGTGTTGAGCCTTATTTGTATTTAGTGTTTATCCTGCAAGGAGCCCCATTGTAACGCTCAGGTGATTTAAATATTTGGCCAGTCGCTATATAAGGTGATGTCAGGTTTGTCTTGGGTAGCGCACGTTTTCCTTGACCAGTGAAAGTAGTTTCACATGTCCATGGAGGGTTTTTCTTTTATTAGTATTGCCCTGTGTTGAGCCTTATTTGTATTTAGTGTTTATCCTGCAAGGAGCCCCATTGTAACGCTCAGGTGATTTAAATATTTGGCCAGTCGCTATATAATGTGATGTCAGGTTTGTCTTGGGTAGCGCACGTTTTCCTTGACCAGTGAAAGTAGTTTCACATGTCCATGGAGGGTTAGGTAGTTTTTCGTGGTAACTGAATCTCCAATCAGGGTAAGTGTAATTTACTTACATTTATTATATTAAAAAGTAATGCAGTATTATGTTAATTGAGCTTATTCTATTTTTATCCACGAGAAAGTGTTTGAATTGTATACGGGAATTTTACCACGTGCACATGCCGTGAGTTTAAGCGTAAAGTAATGATATTAGTTTATTACTCAAAGTGTAACGTTACATTGTATTATTATTTTGCTTTGCGAAGCGGTGTGATACATGTTAGTTAACACTGTATGTTTAAACAAGTATATGTGTAAACATTTATGTTATGTTGTAAGGCAGCCCGTTCGGGGTCAAGCTTATTATGTCTATGCATATTTGTTGAAGGTCCCTATTGATACATGTACGTTAGTATGATTTGGTGCTGTCGGCGGAGGCAACCTAAGGGCGTGGTACGCTGGGCTGAGACCGTGAGAGAGTGGTTTCCCGGATTTGGCTGCATTGCAGACGCTTAAGACGCGTGGGATAGGCGCGGGACGTCGAGGACGTGGTGGCATTTGGTGTAAGGGCGTGGTACCCGTAGGTCATGGACCGTTAAACACAGGAGGCGGGGACGGATATAGGAACGTGGTCTCAGGATGGACACTGATAGACATTTTGAAATTCATTAATTTCATTTTGTATATTTGTACATATTTGTTTTTATATAGAATTGTAAAAAGAAAATAGTTTGGTTATCACTGATCAAGCTTAGGGTGTCGTGACATTGACAAACAGGTTTATGAAAAAAAATCAACGGTATCATTCAAAGTCATTTTGCAAGTTCTATGATCTGCATAATGCCATTGTCAACAAATACAATTCATCATTTAGTCAAACGCTGTTTCAATATCTCATACTTATTTTAAGTGCATTACTACCAAACAGAATTATCAACTGATTTCCTTTTTTGTGTCAAGAAGCACCCTGCCAATATTGCCGGTCCTCAGAATATGCTCCTTTCCGTACGGTAATTGATCCCTATTTTTAGGTTTTAGAGGTTTGTTTTTCTCTACTTTGATTTGTATTGTTTGAATGGACTTTTAAGTTTGAATGGTGTCAATAATCGCCATAATTCATGATGTTGTTCGTTTCTATCAAACCTTGCAGGCCTTTAAAGGACGGTTACTTTCAAAAGTGTACAATAATATTATTTTGCAAATAGAATTCTTTAGTGTGTGCTAAATTCTGCATGTCTATTTGAAATGCTTTATTGGTCCATGGTGTTTCAAAGATATCAAACAGATATGCATGCAATCATTTTTTTCTGTACAGATATTTTTTAAAAATTATTTCTTTATCCTTTCCCCCCACCTTATTTTCTAAAAACAAAATCAAAA